CATGGTATGATTTTCAGGCAATTTCTAAAGGTGGTGCACACTGGGATCAACTTTGATCCAGTCCGATAACATCAGGAAGTCTCCTTCCTGACAAATTGACCATGGTGAGATTCGAACTTGGATCTTAGAACATGAACGTTCTAACCACACAGCCACGTGCTCTTATATATATATATATATATATATATATATATATATGTGTGTGTGTGTGTGTGTGTGTGTGTGTGTGTGTGTGTGTATAATTATCATATAGTAATTCATCGAGCCTAGAATAGTTCTCAACAGAATGCAGAAAGCACTGGTCGGCTATTTCGTCCTATCTGGGACTCATCAAAAGTGCTCATCCACTACCGAGAATCGAACCCGGACCATTTCAATACAATGTAATGTCATATCAACTGTACCACAGACCTCGGTGATGAAGAAGGCATAAACTTTACTCAATATAGCGCTGATACTCACTCATTTCTGCAGTGATATATATATATATATATATTAAAAAATATACATAATACCCTACATTGATTCCACAACTTTCATGTTGTCTACAATCCTCAGGTGCCAATTTTTTATGTGTGTGAGAGAGAGAGAGAGAGAGAGAGAGAGAGAGAGAGAGTATGTTTGTGGAATAGTTTTTTGTGTGAAATAGCTAAAATGATCCCTGTGATTCAAAAGAATACATGCATGCCTAAATTGAAATAAATTGATGTGATGTACTTTCAGAATTTTAAAAAAGGACTCATAACTGGAAAAACCGAATGAAAAAAGAATGTTAACGACAAATACTTTTTCACACCCAACCCAGTTCTGCGGAATCAGAATCAACGTTGAGTTTAAGCAAGCAAATGAGCCAGTTGGAGTAAAGTGCCATGCAGATTTAAATTTTTTCCACGTGTGCCGTATGCAGCTATTGATTTTTTTGCATGCTAGCAAAATTGCAGCCGTAATAGTTAACATTTGTGTCAGTCAGCTGTTGGCTCTCATGCTGGCCAGTAGAATCTTCCTGCCTATTCGTGGCAGCCAGCTATAGGCTCTCACTCTGGTCAGTACAAAATGGCCGCAAACTACATGAAAACTGCTGTAGAAGCATGAGAAAATTGATTATTTCCACTATCGAAGGGAGTTGGAAATGCAAAGTCGGTCTTGACCTTCCTGCTAACTTGGAGCATGTGCATGTAAATTTTGGTTCAAATCCATCAAAAATTGCAGCCGTGCATTCGTTACACACACACACACACACATCCTGCCTTTTATAGATAGAGATATGGAAGTTTTAGAAGCTAATGTTTTGAAAAAAAAAAGAAAAATGGAAGATGAAGTTTTTTGATTTATTTTGAAAATTAATGGCAGTAATGGCCAAGAAGACAATGTTAGTATTCTGTTTAATTTTCAGTTCCAGGAAAAAGTGAGGAGGCTTAAGACCTCCCCCACCAGCCTTCCCTAGATTACTCTGATGTGTGTGTGCATGTGCCTTGTGCTGGGCAGTAATTATAAAGTTACACTTGAAGACCCTTTATTAGGATACTGAATATGAGTTTGTACTACCCAGCCCATCACAATTACTATGCCACCAAATTCATAAACCAATGCTTTAATCAACTAGGCTATTATCAATATCCTAGTTAATTAAAAGTGTTGAGTATAGAATCAGATGAGTATGAAGACAAATGCATTAACCTGACCACACCCTGCAATATCTTTCCTTCATTTTTTTTTCTTGAATGTACTCTGGGCCTTCCCAATTTTGTTCACATCAACAGGAACTGAACCACTGTGTGGAATAGAAGCTGGCCAGTTTTTGAAAGACTGTTAATGAAATCCAGATATATGCTCATGTACCTACTTAAACATGATAAGATGAAGAATGTTTCACTTATATTAAAGGCTCATCTGAGAATGTGATATGGTGAAAAAGAAGAAAGAAATTACTTAAACATGCAAATAAAATAGATTCATAGTTTCCATCATTTTAATTTCTTTTTTTTTTTGTATATATATATATGACTAGCAGTAGAGCCCAGTGTTGCCCAGGGATGTAACAGTAAGAGATAGATCAAGTATCGACCATCATAAAGACTGAAAAATAAAATTGACAAAAATTATTGTTTAAGGTTGATGGACACACATGTCTTAATTAGTTTTTTTTTTTTTTTTACGAATTGGTCAAACCCAAACTCAAACAAAAACATTGTTTTCAATCGTTATGAGTCTACTGATTGAATAGAATTTTATCATAAACAATTGTTTTGTAAATGGAATTTTTAAAGCATTCTGAATGTAAAAATAAAGAAAAAAGTGTGCAAGACAATAAGACAATAACACTACCTGCCCCCCAAAATGTGAAGTTTTGTTGAAATCGGTTGAAAAATGTAGGAAATCCGATCCCATATATAAAAGAACACACACACACACACACACACACAAACAACCTGGATTTTATAATAAGTATAACTCGATATGAGTTGTCCCCCTTTCATTCTTGCAACAGTGATGCCTCTTAATCGTGTTTTCAAATTGATTTTGTGCAAAAACAATTGTGTTTTTCCAATTTTTAGTGCTGTCAGAACCACTGCAAGGTAATTTTGCGTAGTCCTGTGAAGTTTTGTTGAAATCGGTTGAAAAACATAGGAAATCTGATCCAATATATAAACGAACAGACACACACACACAACCTGGGTTTTATAATAAGTATGATTTTCTATCTGAATCTTCTAAGATGAGGAGATAAAGTTATTTATATTTGGAGTAATGTCCTTGTCTTTGTTTCAGGGCTCATTTGAAAATTCCTAGCTTTATCAGTTGTTTGACAATCAGGGTAACCACTAAGGAATTTCATAATTGAATCGTTTGTTAAAAGGTTCAATTCAAAATTCCCTGAATGGCACCCTGAGAGAGACCTGAAAAGGTCAGATGGCACAACGGAAACAGTGTGATAACAACAGTCGAAGATGAGGATATTAGTCCGAATGTAGATAATATAAATATGAGTTTATTGCATGTATGTGTATATTGGTGTGTGTGTGCATGTGTGTATATATATATATATGTAGGAATAATTAGGGAAAAAACTTAAAAATTCATAGTCAGTAATAAATTTATTTTGATGAATATAAGCATATTCATCTCATCAGACCAACTATATTTTATGAAATGGAATCAAGTTACTCCAGACAGACAGATATACAAAGATAAAAAAATTAAAAAAAAGTAGAATAAAAAATACAAGAAGAAACAATAGCAAAAAAATCAATTGACCTAGAAAAGTTATATATATATATATATATATATATATATATATATATATATATATATATATATATATATATATATATATATATATATATAAAGAAAGAACAATAAGATATATAATCCCGTGTTCTTATTGATATTTTTATTTTTATTTTTACAAAACAGTGCTCAATGTAAATTTACAGGGCATAAATATTATAAATTAACTGATTGAAAATATGCTTTTAATGTTTCAAAAATGGAAGCTTAAAATTTTAAATTTAATTATATAATTAAATTAAATTAAAAGCATTAGTTCCATCTTCAAGCAAATATATGAGATGTTTTTTTCAACCACCAAGTTTAAATAGATTTACATTAGTATATATATATATATATATATATATATATATATATATATATATAAATTTCAATAAAGACAACTGACAAGGTATTGGGATTAGGTTTTATTAAATTTTTCTTGCATTCGTATATGTTATGATTTCTTTTCTGGACATAAAATCTGTAAAAACTATTCAAATGATCTGTTGATCCAAGCACTCGACTAATCTATTAGCCACTATCAGGGATATTTTTTGTTTAACTGAGTATGTAGATTTTTTTGATTTCTTTTTATATATAGATGTGAAATTTTTTAATTTCTGAATATGGTCAGCATGTTCGGGCCATGTTCAAAATTGATATTATTGAGAGTTGGATTAATCTTTTTGATTATTAACGCTCCCATTATTTTTTACTTTTTTGGGGATTTTCAAAAAAATCAATAATATTAATATTTTCTATAAAAATCAAATGCACATGAATTATAAGGAAAATGAATTTGCCCCGTGAAACATTATTAAGAAATACTTAACTCCAGTCAACCAGAACAAGAAGATTAAGTTAATTATCTATTATAAAAAACTTAAAAACAGCCAACTTCAGTGTCAGCAATAATAAATCATCAGCTGAATTCAAACTTTACAGGACAAATATTATATATGAATTTACATGCCCTTTATGGAACCATATTCCTAATGAAAACAAATTCAAGAATAATAGTTACATTGGATATATAACTTCATGCCTACCAAGAAGACTTACTTTGCATCTCGTGGGTCATAGCTCCCTTAGGACTCATTTAAATACACATGGAGACATATATATATATATATATATATATATATATAAGTCTCCATGTATATATATATATATATATATATATATATATATATATAGAGAGAGAGAGAGAGAGAGGGGGATATGTATCAGTGGGTGCTAAAAAATTCTGAGTTTGGCCAAGAATCTGTACACTAATAATTCTAATGTTTGGTTACTTAAACAAATTTTGGGACATGGGCGTAGCTGAGAACTTATCAGCACCATTTTCTCTCTCTCTCTCACACACACACACACACACACACACATACACACACACACACACACACACACACACACACACACACACATATATATATATATATATATATATATATATATATATATATAGATACACCTAGTGAGCCAGACAAACCTACCTAGGTTTCACCTAAACGGATCGTCAGGGAAAGTATTGATTTGATTATTAGCAAATCAAAAATTTGAGTGTTTTTCGAAACGAGTCTAGTTATCTATCTATCTATATATATATATATATATATATATATATATAAATAAGAATCACTAGTGGGGGAAAGGTTACACCTATTTTGCACCTATGTTATTGCTAAAATGTCAAGAAAGTTTTAGGATCTTATAGCCTGGATTGGTGTATGTTGTTTATTGCATTGTCACCAACCAAAATAATCAACGCTTCCAGCAAACATCATCATCATCATTTTTGTTTTTTTGGCTCAAAGCAAAATATTCAAATTCTATTTTACACTTTCTTTTCACCTTTATTCTTTGATCTTCTTTTCATTTCTTTTTTTATCTTTACTTTCATTTTATTTCTTCTCCAGGTTTTCATTGCTAACTGGTATTCATTTTATTTCTTCTGCATTCTTTCTTTACTTCTCCATTTTCATTTTCTTTCTTTTTCTTTCATTCTGCCCTCATTCATATTCATTCTATTTCTTCTTTCTTTTTGTCCTATGCATTCATTTTATTTCTTTTTCTTTCTTTCTGTCTTTCTTCACATTCATTTTATTTCCTTTCTTTCTGTCCTTCTCCATATTTGTTTTATTTCTTCTTTCTTTCTGTTCTTCTATACATGCACCTTCTTCCTATTTCTTTCCTTCTCCACATTCACTTTATTTCTTTTTCTTTCTTTCTGTCCTTCTCCACATTTGCTTTATTTCTTCTTTCTTTCCTCACATACATTTTCTTTCTTTTTCTTTCATTCTGTCCTTCTATGCATTCATTTTATTTCCTCACCATTTTTCCTTCTTTCATTACATTCATATTATTATTTATTATTTTTCATTCTTTTTTCTTCACTACATTCATTCTGTTCATTCTTCATTTTTCTTTTTATCCTTCTTTTGTCATTTATTTTATTACTTCTCCATTCTTTTTTCATTCTCTGCATTCATTTTATTTTTTCATTCATTACTTACATCTTCATATTCATTTTATTTTTTCTCTATTCATTCTTTCCTTCTCTACATACATTTTATATCTTTTTCTTTCTTTCTTTCTTTCTTTCATTCTTTCTTTCTTTCTTTCTTTCTTTCTTTCTTTCTTTCTTTCTTTCTTTACATTCATTCTATTTCTTCTCTATTTTTCTTTCTTTCTCTACTTTTTCTATTTCTTCATCCATTATTTACATATTTATATTCATTTTTTTTTCTTTCTCTACATTTATTTTATTTCTTTCTTACCTTCTCTACATTCTTTTTATTTTTTCTTCTTTTTTTTGTCTTTCTTTGTATTCATTTTATTTCTTCTCCTTTTTTTTCATTCCCTGCATTCACTTCTAGTTTTTCATTCATTATTATATCTTTTTATTTCGTCTCTACATTCATTTTATTTCATTCAGTCTTAACTTTTTGCAATCCTTTTACTTCTAAATTATTCCTTCTTTCTATATTTTTCTTTTTCATTTTTTCTTTAGATTTTTTCTTTAATATTTTTAGTTACTCTCTTTTACTTTCATTCTACTTTCTCATTTTCAATCTTTCTTTCTCATTCTCCCTCTCCCTCCTCTTTAATTTTTCTTTTCTTTTTCTGTCTCTTATTATCCCTATGATTTCTTTGATATTTTCTCATCTATTTTTAGTCTGGTATTCCAGTTCTACATTGTTATCCTTCTACAGCAAGTCTCCCTTAATATCCATCTTCAAAATCTATTGCTTGGTCCCTTTGACATTCACTTCTCCCACCTCTGGTGTTTCTGGTTTAAAAATCTTTTCTTATTTACATTAACTTTTGCAGAGAATTTCACAAAGACACACCCATGTACAAGCATCTGTAGAGATACCTTTACATTATGGCTAAAATCTATATTATAAAAGAAGACCTTGCATACAAATATTTAATGTATACATGTATGTCTGTATTATGTGTAAATGACTTACATGTGTTTGTGCCATTTAATATACACACAAACACACACATATATACACACTCAATTTGACTGATTTTGAAATAAGACATTAACAGGATACATTCCCCTCCTCCTCAGTCTAGACATCCCCTACCCTTGATTAAGCAATAATCTCATAAATTTGGGGACAAGAAAAAAATGTTAATTTATTAAAACCCTAAATCAGATAACTATAAGATTTTATTCAACCTTCTAAATTATTTGGTAAGAAATAGAATTATTTTAAAACCTTGATCACCTTTTTTTTTATTTCTTCTCTACAGTCATTTTATTTCATTCATACTTCATTTTTTACAATCCTTTTACTTCTAAATTATTCATATTTTCTATATTTTTCTTTTCAAATCTTTCTTTTGATTTTTCTTTATTATTTTCAGTTACTCTCTTTTACTTTCATTCTACTTTCACTTTTTCAATCTTTCTTTTTCATTCCCCCCTCTCCCTCCTCTTTAATTTTTCTTTTCCTTTTCTGTCTATTATTATTTCTACCTTTTCTTTGATATGCACATGGTGGACTCTCCTGTCGTATTTGACATATAAGGGTCAGCAACTCAGTTCCTAGGAACCAAAAGCCAGACACCAGCACATATGATTTGATTATAGTGGTGAAGGCTTTGTGCAGAACCAAACATGCTTTTTGAAGGGCCGAATACAGAGACCTGGTGCTCTACATGCCACAAGGTCCCCAAACAACCTTCTGCAGGTTTTGAATTCAGAGTTGTCCTTCTCCTAGACCAGTTGCCATCCAAGGCTATAGAACCCAGTCTGTCCTAATTACCCATAGCTGGAGGGAGAAGAAGAGTATTCATACCTTTCCCAAGGGTATTAGCACATAAGTGAATGTAATGAATTCGACTGGTATTCAAACTCGCCTCTCTTTCCTCTTAGTCCAAGCCACTACCCATTACTCCACCTACTATGCATTTATGCACACAATTTCAATGAAATTGAAATGGACAACTGTCTTGTCTGAGCTAAGATCCCTTTTTGTCTGTTAACAACCCCTGAGTAACAGGAAATGGCTATTGAAGTCATTTTTATATTTAAACTGAATATATTTTCTAATAAATAAAGTATTTTAAGTGGGAAAAAATTTAGATTTGAAATTTGATCATATTGCTGTTAGCAAAGTGATAGGCACCAAACTAGTAATATATAATTTCAGATACAATACCTGTGAAAATAGACTGGGACTATATAATGTTTATGGGGTCTATTGCTGGGGAGTTGAGTTAGTAAGTTAGTTTTACAAACCAATATATTCTCATAAGTTTGATTCACACTGATTGGTCAACATTTCTTTCTTTGTATCAGATTAAGTTAATGCAAAAATGGGATGATAGGCATTAATGGGTTACAGGTAAAAACTTATAATTAATACCAGATCTTTTAGAAAACAGTAAATAATACAGGATTTTAATTTTAATTTTTATAATTAATAGTGAATTTTATAGAGGTTGTTAATGGGATAAGCTTAGTATGCAAAATATATAAATAGGTTAAAATTTTAGGAATCCATCAGTTATAAATACATACAAAAAGACATATACAAATGCATACATACATTTTTATAGTCATGTATATAAATACATGGATGTGCAGGTGGAGTAATGCTTAGAGGCTCAGAATGAGAAATTGGCAAGCTGAGATTGATTTCTGGTTTTACATTCACTTTTGTGCAAATACTCTTGAAAAAGATATGAATTCATCGCAAAACTGGAACATCACTTTGATTTTACTAATGCCCCCCAATTAAAAAAGAACATAATTCTCTAATGAGAAAGTACTTTGAGAGCTTAATAATGACAATATTACTGTTATAGTAAAACACACCTATTCTATTGTTAATAGACTCTCCCACCTATAATAAGTAGGCGTAGCAAGAGTAACAAGTGAGTCTCAGAGAGTTGGTCAGTCAGTCGATGTCGGAAGACCGTTAGTCGGATATTAAAGTATCAGCGATCACAACTAGATTACTGCGTCATTACCTATTATAACGTTTTGTACGTCGAACCTATTTTAGGACCGACTTAGTACAAATACAAGCCTCCACTGCAAAACCACTACATAACAACTTGGCGACGAGGGATTTGGATTCATACGGAGGAAGAAAAACCTTTTCATACTACATAACAATTACTAACTATAAACATGTATAAAGAAACATTATATTAAATCAACAACCTTTATTGAATCCATTCTTAAAGAACCTAATGTATGTTTATCTAAAACAAACACTATGGATGCAAAAGCATTCTCAAAACAACATGTGAAAAACCAACAAACTTGTCAACTAGACATACATGTAGACAATTATAAATATACATTATCATCTGATGCCCACATAAACAAATTACAATTTTCTAAACTTACATACATATAACAATATTTAAGTTTTTCAGGCACACTTGGAATCCATTAATTTCTTGATGCACCATCTCTCCTGGAATTCGGAATGCCACAAATTACATTAACATTGGTTTAAAAGAGTTGAATACATGTGATACGTGATTGACCAATGAAAATCAAACAACACAAAAATAAAAAATACCAGAATTCATTTTTTCTTTTTCTCCCTATCTCAGTCTTTGAGTAACTTACAAATTTTCTTAATATTTAATAATCAAATCTGTTTTATTTTTCTAATCTGGGAAGGCCAGAAGAAGCCATTTCTGCAAAGCAAGGCTCAATTACCCTAGTCATGAAATGCACAATGAGACCTTTTGGTGACTTTCTGTTAACTTTATTTTCATACCTAAAATGTAAACAAAAATAATAATTAGGCTACTAAGATACAAGGGATAACTGGGTGTGGAAAAATTAGGAACAGAAGCATTAATATTGAGCAGGAAAAGAAAAAAGTATTTGGAGGACACTAGAAAGTAGGTGACATCGTATTTAAATTTTTGGAGATTAAAGTTGGCTGGGAAGCATTGAGCCAGAAGAGCGTTCCACAAGGGAGAAGTGCACGAAAAGAAACTATTAGCATAGAACTTATGGCTACATCTGGGCAATTCAACTCTAAATTGATGAAATTTTAATGCCAGTCTAGTATTGTGCTTAAATTCAAAAAGTTTAGGTACCATAGTGAAGAGTTCATTCAAACAATTGCCACAAAAGTATTTATAGAAAAGGCACAGAGGCAACCTTATGGCAGTGGGAAAGTGACTGAATCTGAGATACAAAATCAGGACCAATAATATTGTTGATTCTTCTTTGGAGTTTATCAAGGAGCTCAACATAAATAGCAGGGGCACCGAACCATATGTAGCAATAATATTTTAAGCATGGATGAATGGTAGACTTAGATATGTATGATAGATTCTGAAGAAATAATTGTCTCACACAACACAGTGAACCAACTTTCTTAGCTGCTGACTTTGTTAGAATGATCAGCCTCACTATTGAGACATGAGTAAATGGCTGTGTCATCATCATAGATACCAAGTTGAGAGCTGATGTCATTGGGAAGGTCATTAATGAAAATTAAAAACAAACTAGGACAAAGAATGGAGCCATGGGGAATACCTGCATTAGTATGAAAGGATCTAGATGTGTGGCCATTCAGGATAACATTCATTTCATGATATTCTTATTTATATTGATTCTGTAAAGTAAGCTTTAAAAAATTATAATGTCTCATTTCCACTATCCCCACCAAAATCTTTTGGACTGCTTTTTTTACAATACAATGCCCAAAGGCCACTCAAGTCTGTTGGGGTACTGAATTTTTTTCTACAATGAATGGGTCCTTGTGTTTGAGTAGATGTCCTTGTTCTTTTTAACAGTGAAATTAATCTCTCTTAACTTACAGATTTACAATTTTAATGGAGATATGTTCACTGACAGGAATTGAATCTGCATTCCCTTTCTAATCTTTGAAGCCAAGTGTTCTTTACTTTATGCCACAAGCAGCTATTATAGCAAAACAAGGCTCAATTATCCTATTATTCAAACTTCATAAATTATTTTCTTCGATAACAAAAAGAAAAGAAAGAAGTGAAGTTTTCACTGGTTCCAGCAAAGCAATAACATATAATCTCTTTTTTTTTAAGTCTGTATTAGAATATTTTAAGACCCTTTAACACTTATCACACAGATGAAACATTGCTAGTCTCTCACACTATTATTATGGCAGATGTTTGCGTGAGTTGTATTATTTAGCTCCACCAGCTCAGACCATCACAGACAGAATCCACCATACCATGTAGCATGGTGGCAAACCATCCCTGAACCATTTGTGTTTCTTTTTCAGAAAGCAAGTTCCACTCAGACAGCTTCTTCCTCAGAAGTGTTGCTTTGTGGAGCAAACTCCTGAGAGAATGATTCCCTGACAACTAAAATCTTGGTCTTTTTAAGTCCAGTGTCAACTGATATCTATCATACTCATCCTTATAATAATCTCTTACTTTCCCCTTTCCTCTCATTTATAACAAACTCACTCAGTAACACTCTAGCTTGAGTGGCTCTTTGGCCATGTATTGTAAAAAAAACAAACGCTAGCATTCCAACAGACTTGAGTGGACCTTGACCCTTGCATTGTAAAAAATAAAGGAAAAAAGTCAGCAGTCCAACAGACATGAGTAGACTTTGGCCCTTGTAAAAAAAAAAAAGGAAAAAAGTCAGCTGTCCAACAGATTTGAGTGGCCCTTTGGCCTGGTATTGTTAAAAAAAATTGATGGGTATGTTGAAAATGAAACAGACTGTTACTTTTCTTAATCTCACTCAGAATTAAAATCAACATAAATAAAACCCTGCTATGAATTCACTTCATAAACTCTAACATAAAATCAATTATTTTATTTAGTTACAACTTTTTTTTTTCACTTCTGCAGACTTTCCCACATTAAACTGAACATATTTCTTTCTTAAGTCTGACATCATTTGAGTTGACATGCAATCACTGTTTGCGTGTTACATACATGTTATTTATGCTTGTGGACATTAAGAGAAGGTGTCAATTTGCAGCTTGAAAATAGTTTTAGAAATCATTTTCCATCAATCTTTTTCTGGAAATTGTTGAATGGCCTTATATTTTCAAATAAAATACATATTTGTGTAAATACAAAAAAAAACTTACAGTTGTTCTTTGCTTCTCTAAAATGGAATTTCTACAAATTTTCAAAATTTCTAATGAGTCAATCTGTTTTTTAAAAAATATCTTCACAATTTTGTTTTCTCGTCATGTTAATATTCAAATTATTATAATCATTTACTTACCATGTCTCTTCAGAATATGGCCAATCACAACTTCTGAAAATTTGTTGGTCTTAGAAATATTTATCTTTTTACTATTCTTCCTAGTGCTTGTTCTGCCATCTATTTACACAAGCTCATTAAGTAGTTTACTTATTGTTTCTCTTTGTCCCTCTTACCCTGTATATATCATGTGAATGTCAAATTGTCCAAGCCCTCATTCCTCATTATGTGTCCAAGAAATTTTAACTCTCTTTCTGATTCTAAGAATATGATCATTTTGTCTCTATTTTTCTTAAATCTT